GCCTCCCCTTTTGACACTCATGCAAACCAAACTATTTGGTCTCATGCAAACCAAACCCATGTCTCCCCTTTCGACTCTCATGCACACCAAACTATTTGGTCTCATGCAAACCAAACCTATGTCTACCTTTTAAGTATCATGTAAACCAAACCTATGTCTTTCCTTTTGACTCTTATGCAAACCAAACTATTTGGTCTCATGCAAACCAAACTGGTGTCTACCTTTTTAACTCTCGTTTCAAACCAAACCTGAACTAAACCTATGACCTTCTTTTTCTGACTTTAAACATATCTCCCTTTTGAATCTCGTGCAGACCAAATCTATATTTACCGTTTTGTGTCACATGCTGACCAAAATGATGTCTGCCTATTTTTGTCTTTCGTGAAAACAAAATATGTCCTTCTTTTGGACTCTAGTGCAAACCAAACCTATATCAACAGTATTTTTTTTAATTCTTGTGCAAACTAAACTTATGGTATCCTTTTTGATACTCCGTACAAACCAGACGAATGTCTACCTATCTATTGTACCACAGAATCGAGCATTAAATAACCTGGAAAATAACTGTTATTTGTAAGCTGTTTTTCTTTTCTTTTTACTCACGATAATCAACTAATTGAATCACAAGACTGGATTGAAATATTTGATTAAATTCTCTCAAAATAAACCTTCATTTCATTGCAACATTCAAATTATCTTGAATTCTTTATCGCCTACGTGTAGTGGGCGCGAACCCAAATTCATTTATTTATATCGCGTGCGATCCAGTCAAAGCGCGACAATTTAAATGTTGTAGTTTTTCGCTAGCATAAAAAGTGTGATCGTAACTGGGTGCTCAGTTACTGGGGCCTTTTGTCAGATTACGCTGAAGTTGGCACCAGACATAGGACGATAGTTAGCAAGCTAATGTAACAGACATTTGTTAGTCACGTGATTTCGATCGTCATTAATAAATGTGTTTAATTGATAATTCGATACAGTAAGAGGTATAAGACATACGGAAATAGTGAGGAAGAGAGATAGGAAAAGTAAAGAAAAGAGAAGCTAAGGTAGAGAAATCATAGATAGAGAAGGAGTTTTTAGATGTGGTTATGGGTAAAAAGGAGGGGTGTTGTGGTTAGACAAATAAATAAATTGAGAATAAGAAAGAAAGAAAGAAAGAAAGAAAGAAGAAAACTGAAGCGAAAAGGAAAGAAAAATCGAAAGAAAGAAAGAAAGAAAGAAAGAAGGAAACTGAAGCGAAAAGGAAAGAAAAATCGGAAGAAAGAAAGAAAGAAAGAAAGAAAGAAAGAAATAAACTAATCAGAAAAAGGGAAAAAAGGGAAAATTGGAATGGAGAAAGAAAGAAAGAAAGAAAGAAAGAAAGAAAGAATCAGAAGTAAAAAAGAAAGGGGAAAATAAGAGGAAAACAAAAACAGAGAAGCATGAAAGAAAGAAAGAAAGAAACTCAACAAAAAAAGGAAAGAAAAAGAAAAACCGAAATGAAAAGAAAGAAAATGTACAGAAAAGAATTGAACAAAAAAAAGGAGAAAAAAAGGAAAAACGGAATTAAATGAAATAAAGAAAGGAGAGAGAGATAGAGAAAGAGGGAGAGAGGGAGAGAGAGAAAGAGATAGAGAGAGAGAGAAGGTTTTGATAAAGCAAGAAAAAGGAAAATGAAAATTAGAAAAAGAAAGACAGAAAGGTGATGAAAATTAAATAAGTAATTAATGAATGAATGAAAGCAGGATGAGAAAACAGAAAGAAAGAAAGAAAGAAAGAAAGAAAGAAAGAAAGAAAGAAAGAAAGAAGGGATTATGATGAAAAAAAGAACAGTAGAATTAAAAAGGAATGAGTAGAAAGAAAGAAAGAAAGAAAGAAAGAAAGAAAGAAAGAAAGATACGATTAGGATGAAATAAATAAAAATAGAATGAAAAAGCAATGAGTGAAAAGAAAGAAAGAAAGAAAGAAAGAAAGAAAGAAAGAAAGAAAGAAAGAAAAGACGCAAAGAGAAAACAAAGGTTATGGGTAGAGACCCCTTTAAAAGTAATATTAGATATGTAAAAAGATAGAGATATTGTAGAAGAGAAAATCGCCAGTAAATATTTATACATTTGCGTACTTGCATTTCTGCTAGTGGGGCAGAAGTGGGAGGAGCCGAGTGTCACAGTGGGTCCCCAGGAGGTCACTTAGTCCATATCGTTCACTGTTAATTCTTATGATAAGGACAAAAATAATGCCAACACTTAAAGCGTACTACATCTGCCACCCACTGAGCCGAACATCACCGGACATATGCGAATTTAGACGAAAAAAAAAAAAAAAAAAAAGAACCCGAATTTAAGAGGATTATGTTACGGATATATATCTATGTACATAACAAACAAACAAAAAACCTTAGAATAATTGTTCATTTCCGGAAGTTTACGTGGTATATATTTCTCCTAGCCCATTTATGTACTGTTGATGATCATGGCTCTCCAAATCTTCCTATCTATACTCCCTCTCCTAGTCTCTCTTCTGTCATCCATTTGTTCAAACTTGTTAGGTTGGTTACTCGCTGCTTCCCTCTGTCCCGCTTACCTTCAATATGTCTTGTGAGTGTTAAATTCTCCAGGCCCACTTTCCTCATTATGTGTGCCAGAAATTTCAACTGTCTCTTTTTGATCTTAAGTGTAAGCATTCTTTTTCTTTCCAGTTCCCTTGCTCGTCACTGACATGCGCTGGCCATAGTATTTTCAGTATCCTTCTCTAGAACCGCATCTATGGTACCACTAGTCTGCGAGAGAGAATTGTTCAACATTCACTGCCATATTGGAGGTTTGATACTTCGGCATTCTGTACTTTGTTTCTAACAAATTTTCCTGTCTTTTATCACTTTATTTTGCTTTTGGAAGGAAATTTTTTAAGTATTTCATTCCAAGCAAGGCGGGAGTGGCAGTAGCACCCGGGGCGGGGGGTACAGAGAGTGAAAATGAGGGAAAAGACTGTGTATAGAGGGGGTTGAGGACAAGATAAAAGAAGAACGAGGATCAAGGCAACAGCAGATGGCTATTAATGTTGCATTTAACTTTTTAAAGATTGTAGTTATCAGGGAAGCGAGTAAGAGGAAGGGAGTTCTACTGTAAGGAAGTGCGAGAAAAGGAACTGTTGGAATGGTGGTTATATTTAACTATTTCAACAGTAAAAGGATGGGACATAGATGTCAGTCTAGTAGCAAGCTTAAATTCATGTAGTCAGGGCACCAGGAAAGATAGCTTATGAGAACAGTTGCCATGAAAATATTTGTAGAAAAGACAGAGGGAAGCCACATTACGTCTGTGAGAAAGTCACTGAAGTCGAGATGCCAGGTCAGGACCGATTTCATTGCAGATCATTCTTTGGATTTTGTCGAGATCCTCGCATCTTTTGATATCTCAATATGCCTTCAGGTTTCTTTGTCATATTTTCTGTCGTCTGTTTAAAAAAAAAGCTTCCCAGATAATCGCTATTTACTAAGCGTAGCTTAGATGTGACGCAGGGTCGAAAGTATGGCGCACCTAATGAGGACGTCCTGGGTAAGACAGTAAACTGCATCCAACTGCAAGGCCTCTGATCAGGAGGTTTTGAGGAGCATGGAACCACCTCTTAATTGTTGGTGTTCCCAGGTCCACCTTGACCCGGGGTAGTAGCACCTGTTAGGGTCCCAGCGATGGGTAAATAGTTCACCCCGAAACTATGAAAGTGTAAAAATAGGTTTTAATACCAGAAATTCTTTGTAAAAAATATTATTACCAGCAATAATTTTTTGGAAAAAATATTACCAGCAATAAAAATTTTTGCCGGCATTAAATAATCCATAGAGATTGATATGTTGCAAAACAAAACAAACCTAATGAAGATCGAATTCATTGGTCGTAAGTGATCTAGTAAGGCAAGTTTGTTAACCTTTACGCCACCACACTAAAGTGCGTGACTTCCCAGATAATCAATGCTATAAAAGCAGGCCTATTAAAAAAAAAAGAAAGAAATTAGAAAAAAAAAATCAACAACAAAACAAAACAAAAAAAAACCCCACAATAAATTCAACTTTATGAAGTTAAGCGCAGTACTAAATTGGCAGCTAGGTCCCATCGTTTTTCTAACCCTAAGTTGTCTGCTTTTTTCTCGCACTTCTCGCTTGTGGAAATCTCTTCCGGTTTCTTGCTTTCCAGTCAACTTTGATCTTCGAAGATTTAAATGCAGCGTCAATGATCATTTCATCTTCTTCATTACTGTACTTTTATTGTCCATGTAAAACAAACCTAGGTCTACTCTTGACTCTCATGCAAACCAAACTATTTGGTCTCATGCAAACCAAACCTATGTCTTCCCTTTTGACTCTCATGCAAACCAAACCTAGGTCTACTCTTTTGACACTGATGTAAACCAAACTATCTGGTCTCATGCAAACCGAACCTATGCCTACCATTGTAGCTTTCATGCAAGCCAAACCTATGTCTACCTTTTAAGTAACATGCAAACCAAACCATTGTCTATCCTTTTCACACTCATGCAAACCAAACTATTTGGTGTCATGCAAACCAAACCTACGCCTCCCCTTGAAACTCGTACGATCAGCGAAGTTAAGCAACGCTAACTCATAGCTGGAGGGAGAAGAGGTGCATTTATGTTGTGGAGTATTTTCACAGTGGAGACTTGTATTTCTAATAAGTCGTCCTAAATTAGGTCCGACGTACAAAACGTTAGGAACTTGGAAAATAATAGTAAATGACGCAGCAAATCTAGTTGTGATGGTTGGTACTTCAAATGTCCGAATCTCGACTGACGCGCTCAACACCGTTGTGCCAGACTTGCCACTGCTACTCCTACTTATTATCTATGGGAGAGTCCATTACAATAGAATAGGTACCTAACAATTTACACCTTTCCCAAGGTTCTTTGCGCGTAAGTGAGTATAACGAACCCAACGGGAATTCGAACTCGGCTCTCCGATTAACAATTCCGAGCCATTATCCATTAAATCATCCGCACATCCAATATTACAGCACCTGGTATTCCCAAGTGGTCACCCGTCTAGGTACTGACCAGGCTCAACGTTGTTTAACTTCGATGATTGTCCGAGGTCCGGTGTTTGAAGGTGATGTGACCGTAAGCACATGAAAATAAAAGTTGTTTTAACTTAACAACAAGATCCGACGAGGCCCATATTGGGCCTCGTCGGATCTTGTTGGTAAGTTATTAAGAGGTGCCCCGAAAATTCTGTAACAGGAAATTTAACGGTTAATTTTGACAAGGTAGGAAAATTCGGTAACTGAAATAAAAAACGATTGAAAATTGATTTTAGGGCCGTCGTTCTGAGGTGGGGGATTTGGGGGCTAAGCTTCCTCCCCTATATATATATTTTTTTTTTTTAATAGAAATGAGCATATAAAGTTTTTGCTTCTTTAAAAAGAAATAACTGTCTAAAACTTAATTTATTTACTACTTTGTTAATAAAATAATAATTTGAAAAGAAAATACGATAACTTTAATTGAGATAAATCGGTTTTATTTGCTTGAAAACAATAGAGTATAGTAATTACTTATTTAAAAAAAATATTTATTATAAAATAAGGGGGTTGCCCCCTAAAGCTCCATCCAGAAAGTACGACGCTGGTATTTCTGTAGTGAGGTTTTATTTGGCCAGGAACTCGTGATTTTTTTAGTTAATACTTATTTAAACGCCGCCACCACCGTCAAGTACAGCCCTGGTACTGTTGTTGTGGGAAATTTTCTAGACCCCCAATAATTAATAATACATTTTTTTAAATATTGAGGCCAACCCCTTCTGCAAATACGGCCCTGGTATTTTTGTAATGGGGTTTTATCTGGACCCAACGATTTCCAGTTATTTAAAAATATATGGGAGGGCCGCTTAGCCCCCAAATCTCCACTCCAGAACGGCCTTAAAATCAATTTCCAATTGACTTTTTTTTCATAGTTACATTGTCAAAATTACCGAATTTTTCTAAATTCATTTTAAGGAATGAGACAGATTCTAAATGTTTTTTTTGGTTTTTTTTTAGCAAACTATTAACCATCTAATATCTAGCCCCAAATGAATTGAATATAGGTATGATAGGGGCAGGAGAAAACCCATATTGGGATTAAAAAAATTTCTCGATGCAGAAAAATATTAAGAAAAAGTATCGCCCCTGCTGGTGGAAAATCTTGTAATATTCTAGGACTTTTATTTACCGATTACATTATACAAGCCAACAGACCAGATACAGGAATAAAAACTTCAAAAAACTTAAGTGCTATCTGATACACATGGCCGTCTTGTCTGATAAAAAATATCCCGACTTCCGGATTGAAGTTGCCAGAATTTGGGACATTCAGTCCATGATTGCCCCAGTTACGAAAGAGCGTCGGTGTCTGTACCACCAAAACTTAAAGTCGTACATCGAGAAAAGCTGAATAGAGCCCAAAATCCCATTCAGAAATTCTACGTTGTTTGGCACTGCAAATATTTTATGAAAGAGGCTTTCGGTTTGGGACCTTACGTATTGATGGAAAGCAGCCATGATGCAGTAACTCCGTTTTTGTCTGTTTGATTTTTGTAATTATTTCACCCACAAGCAAGGCAATAGAGCCACTAAGACGCAAGGGATTACTGAATGAAAGAGAATATAAGAAAAAGATAACATTATTATTATTATTTGTAGCTGTCTCTTCTACTCCAATAGCTTCATGTCTCACACTTCTGACCTGTGGAACTCCCTCCCCCTTTCCAGTTTCCCTGATAGCTATAATCTCCGACTATTCAAATGTAACGTCAATCGACGTCTCCAAATGTTTTGATTTATCCTCTATCCTTCTCTTCATCCTTTCCTCTATCACCCCTCTTTGCTCTCGCTTCGACTCTCTGTAACCCCTTGCGTGTTAGTGGCTTCCTGTCTAGCTTGGGGTGAAACGCTTACCCCCCCCCCCAAAAAAAAACAACAAAAAAACAAAAAACAAAAACAATATAATATATTAGAACGATAGAAGAACAGGAATTAAGAATACAAAAATGACGATTGGCATTGCATTTAAAGTTTTTTAAATCAAAGGTCACTGGAAAGAAAGAAACCGGAAGAGGATTCGGCAAGCGAGAGGTGTGAGTGGTGAAACTGTTAGCATATAACTAGTTGCATCTAGCCATTTTAACTGGAAAGCGGTGAGACCTAACTACCATTCTAGTACAGCGCTTAAATTCTTAAAGTCGAATTAACTGTGGTTGTCAGACGCAAGTGGCTACTGACTATAAAAGAATATAAGGAAAATATATTATTTAGAAGAGAGAACATTAAAAGGACGGGGATCAAGAAGACAAAAGATGATGATTGACATTGCATTTAATTCTATGAGGATCAAAGTTGACTGAAAAGCGTTACGAATTCGCAACTTATCAAGGTATGAACCCCAGGTAAAAAAATAAAATAAAATAAAAGGTGGGTTGACTCAGATAGGAACACACGAGCAGGTACCGATGAACAACAAACACAAGATTAACACTTGTAAATAAATTTTATATAACAAAATACAAAATATGGAAAAAGGATGGCGTGACACACGTACAATTAATAAAAGAACATTTAACTGATATTGGACGTCAGTTCAAATGTTTGTGTTTCAGGAATTTGGAGTTCGAATGTTTGTAATGACAGACAGACAAACTTTCTGAATAATGTCCACAGAAGTTGGTTCTTCTTCCTTCGGGAATAATGTTTGCGATAAGTTTCCCCTGAGTACTTGGATTGCCTACGAGATGAATGTAAGATGTTTTCATTGTATTTATTCGGGTACAATATTCTCTTATTCATTACCCATTAAATAGTCAAATAAATCTCCGTGACGAAATTTCCTTATTCCCTACACAACAAGTAATGGAATTGGTTTGTGGGTGTACTTCTCATCCCTTACGATCGCATTATGAGTGTCTATTTTTTTTCACGAACTGTTGTCGTTGGAGGTCACCGGGAAACTAAAATTACAATACCAAAATACCAAAATCGGTGTTGTATGTCACGTGAACATAGTTGACCGATTCCTATTCACTTTCATAGAAAGTCATCTTCTTTGTTGTCAAGCAAGCCCAAATTCTCTTTCTACTATTTCTTAGGAGGTCATTCTGTTTGCTGTCAAGTGACCCCAAATTCCTTTCACGATTTTTCTTCGCCGAAACAAGACTAAAAAGGTGGGGGCGGGGGGAGAAGTAGAAACACAAAGAGAGCGCGTCTCTTATCAAATTTCTTGTACGTCTGATAAATCAGTTAACATTGAGGGCCAGAAGCAGTTCCACAAGCGAGAAGTGTGAGAGAAGCAAATCTTAGCCTAGAACTTACCGTTACATCTAACCATTTCAACTGTTAAACGAAAACCGCGCAGAGGAAAACAATAATTAAAATGCCCTGTGGGTATTATAATTGTGTGGTGAATCAAAGTAGAAGTGAGCATTTTGGGGTAAAATTATTGTGTGGTCAGTCTAGGTAGAAGTGACTGTTTGGGGTAAAATTATGGCCTATGGCAATGGGTGTTGGGGATAAAATGAGCTTATAGGATGCCTCAACTTTGCATATAAGTTGCAAGGCGACTTTTCTTGAGAAAAAAAGGTGGGTCTTTTATGCTGGCACACAGGCCTCATGTGCATCGTGTGGCAGTAAAGGTGTGAAAGATATCGCATCGCATGTCCCGCCGGGCCTGACCTCGGTGATAAACGTGTTGGTATGATATATAGTTATCTGGAAATTGTGAGTTTAAATTCCAGGAAGTCCTGATATATACACCAGCTGGACACACACACACACACACACACACACACACACACACACACACACACACACACACACATATATATATATATATATATATATATATATATATATATATATATATATATATATATATATATATATATATATATATATATATATAGAGAGAGAGAGAGAGGAGAGAGAGAGAGAAAGAGAAAGAGAGAAAGAGAGAGAGAGAGAGAGATAGTTGGTTGCTAGATTTGTATAACAGCATATCAACTTCTTATGGGTCATTTAATGCCGAAATTTGATTTTCTTGGGAGCTTTGAAGTAATACAATTATATGTTATTCTGCTTTCACAATTGAATACATGGTAGATGATACGCAGCATTTGCATATTTACAAGTTTGTGCGAACGTAATTACTAGAGGCGGTGATATTCATGTTTTATGCTGTATTCTTTTTTAAGTTATATTTTGGAATACAGTTTGATTTAAGAATTTGTAGGGTATATTATGGATTAATATCTTGAGAGAGTTCATTCATGACGGGTGTTTGATTCTGTTTAGTGGTATATCAACCACTATTGGTTATTTAATGCAGAAATCTAAATAATTTGAATATAGTTTTATGGCTTCAACTAAATATATTTCGGACGCAATTGTATGCCTTCAACTACAGATAAAATGTATTGTTTGTCATTTTACTATAAATATGTAATGTTGGTAGTTTTTTTTTATATAAAAATGTATTGTTGGTAATTTTGCAATAAATATGTATTTTTATACTTTCATGTTTTTTTTTGTGTGGGATTTGGTTGGAATTGACTATTTGCCTGTAGCTGAGACCCTAACAGGTGCTACCATCCCTGGTGAGGGTAGGCCTGGGAACAACAGCAATCAAGAGGTCGTTCCAGGTTCCTCAAAACCCTCAATTTCCTGATCAGAGACTTTGCAGCCCGGATGTAGTTTATCGTCATACCCAGGACTGAGAAAGAGAGAGAGAGGAAGAGAGAGAGAGGAAGAGAGAGAGAGAGAGAGGGGGGATCAGTCTTGTGTTGAATAAATGATAAATTCTGAAGATGTGACAAATACGCGAATGCAAACGATATGCACCACCAGCACCACTCCGCTCCGCAGACTGAATGAAAATTTTCGGTCAACATTTCCTGAAGATGAATATTGATCCTTCGAATCGTCAAAACCTCTTCTTATATATGGCGCTAATTTTATCAGGTAACTGTCTTTTTATCGCTGGTCAAACTGGCGTAATGAAGTCCCAATAAAACGAGAAAATAATTAAAAAATTGACATTCTACACTACTTCAAACAAAAGCTTAGGAAGGAAACTTCCATCAATACCCGAGTTATTCAT